GATAAGGTGTGTAAGTCTATATTTGCTAAGCTATGGTTTGCTCATTCTCCTTTTACTTTTTATTTACAAATGATTAAAATGATAAATTTGCTTAGTCTTGAGAGAAGTTAGAGGATCAAATTGAAAAGATTACTTGGGTATTTGAGACATTGTTAGTTAGTGAGATTTTATGAAATAGTTTTGTATTTTTATTAGTTTACATTTGGATAAATAAAGATTTATCATTAGTTAGATTAAAGATATGGATTTTAGTTGGTAGATTATTTTATTGAAAAATTTTAAAATGGTTAAGAAAAAAGGCTTCATATTACTTTTGAGTTTTACTTCAAGGTAATATAGTTGTGTTGTATTTTGATCTCAGGGCATGACAAAATGAAATCTGGTTGGAAACAGATTTAAGATATTCCATCTCATCTTGAGTGTCTACATGACACCTCTATTTGTTTTTTCATTTTCTTTATTTTTTTTAATTTCATTTGTTAAAATTTTTTTACTTTTTTATTAGATAAATTTTGTAATAAAAAAATTAATTAAGATAGAAATGATAAAGTAATTTATATCCAATGGGTTTCAATTCGTCCCAATTCAGTTGATGCATTTTTTTTTTCATTCGAGATAATTAAGTTGAATTTTTTAAAATTGAGCTTGGGTCAAAACAAGGCTTTTGGTGTTATACCTCATCTTTGATATATATAAAATATATATTTTATTATTTATTTAATTCTATATTTCTATATGTATTTTATTAAAAATATTATTTAATATCTTAATTTAATAAATTTATGTGCCATCCAATTTGGCTTATTATATAAATTTTATAAAAAAAGAGTCAATTGATGTAGGAATGACAATATAACCTATTTCCAATGGGTTTTGATTCACCATGATTCAATCAATGTGTGTTTTTTTTTTTTTCAAATAAAAATTGGGTTAAGTTTTTCTCTTTAAACAATTTGGGTTAGTCAAGATTGGGTTTGAGGTGCTTTACCCAACCTTCTTTGAGATATATTACAGAATATATTTTGTTATTTATTATTTATATTTTTATATATTATATTAATAAAGATATTATTTAATATATGAATTTAATAAAAAAAACTACATTTATATAATTTAGTTATAATTTATATTAAAAATAAATATACTTATATTTATCGTATTTTATCATCCATTAAACTTTGGCATAAAAATTTTACTTCTCTCATACTTAATATATGATTTACAAGAATAAAAAATTATTCTGTAATGAAGCATGGGTCTAACTCCAGTTATAATATCAATTTTGTAAAGAATAAATAAAGTTGGGAGTGTTCATGTGGCACCCTTCCCTTCCTCCATTCTCTAATTTTTTTGTTTTTTATTTTATGTTTATTAAATTTATTTTATTAAACTTTTTTATTTATTTGTATTTATTTTTTTATTAAACAAATTTGTAAAAAAAAAAAAATCAATGAACGCAGGGTTGATGAAACAATCTATATTCGATTAGTTTTGATTCACATCAATCTAATATAAGTGTGTCTTTAAAAAATGATAAATGAGATTACATTGAGATTTAAAAAAAAAAAATAGAGTCGAGTTGGAGATAGATTTAAAATGTTTATTCTCCTCTCAAGTGTTCACATGGCACTTCTTTTTTTTTCATTTTCTTTTTTTTTAAGCTTTTACATTTTCTAGTTTCCTTTTTTCTTTTTCTTAAACTTTTTTGCTTTTACTTTTTATTAGATATATTTTGTAATAAAAAAGCCAATTGATTTAGAGATAACAAAATAATTCATATTCGATTGGTTTCGATTCAATTTGATCCAATTGGTGCACTTTCTTTTAATTAGGATAATTTGATTGAGTTTTTTAAGTATTACGTCTGGACCTTAGTATATATAAAAATATTTTTTTATTATTTATATAATTATATAATTATATATTACTAAAAAAATCTTATATAATACCTTAAAATATTTAATAAATTCACATATCAATCCTTTTTTTTTTTGTCATTTTATTTGTTTTTTAAAATTTTATTTATTAGATAAATTTTGTAACAAATCTAGGGATGATAAAATAACCTATATTCGATAGGTTTCAATTTGCCAAGATCTAATCAATGTGAATGTGATACCCTAATCTCATATCGGATATACTATTATATATAAGTAGACACTGAAATCTATACTTGTGAGATATGTTTTATGAGACAAAACTGTCAGATTTTTTAGTTAAAATAAATAATACATTGCAAGTTAGGTACGAATCTTTAAAAATGGTATCAAAGTGGTCACCAGTCAGACATGAGCTAAATGTAGAAACCACTTCTAAAATCTCAAGAAAGCTAAGTGTTTGATGATCTATTATGATATAACATCCAAATCCTATATTGAGAGATTATAAGGATTTGCTATGATAAACTTGTGAGGCTACTTTTATAGGATAAAACTATAAAACTATGAATCAAATGGATAATATTTCATAAGTTGGGTGCACGTCTCCATAGTATTTTTTTTTTAATAAAGATTGTGGTTAAATGTTGCCTCTTTGAATAATTTGGATTAAGTCGGGATCGGGTTTGAGGTGCTTTGCCTTGACCCTCTTCAGGATATATAAAAGAATATGCTTTATTATTTATTTAATATATATTATATTAATAAAAATATTATTTAATTCCTTAATTTAATAAAAATTACATTTATATATAATTACGTTATAATTTATATTAAAAAACAAATATATTTATATTTATCAATATTTTATTATCCATTAAAATTTGATATAAAAATTTTACTTCTTCCATATTTAAAACATAATTTAAAAAAATAAAAAATTGTCCCACAATGTAGCGCAGATCTAAATCTAGTATCATAAAAATAAATAAATAAAGGAGATTTGGTAAGCAGTTGAACCTTCCCCTGTAACCTTCTTGTTAGATGACAGAGTTGTTAAACAATCTAGAATTTTATATTTGCATGGATTTTCCAGAGGACTGAAATTTTCAGCAAATAACGGGGTTAATTTTATGACATTACCAAATCAATTTCTAGAATAAGGACTTAAAAATTTGGACAGTCTTGGATAAGCCTATTTCAAACACTAATCTTTTTAGATGCTGTTGCTGCAGCAGGTATTGTATCGAATAATTTACTCAAAGCAGTTAGTTTTGAGTCCTTCCGCCTGTTCAAAGTAGTAGTTCTTCAACCCCCTTTTTTTTAATTTAAGTGCAAAGGCCTCATGAGTCATAACTGATGAGATTCCTTGATTTCCCACTTCTTTTGGCATATAATAATGATTAAACTAGGTTTTTTTTTTTTTTTTTTTTTCATTCTTGTCAATAGCTCTATCCAAGGACTTAAGCTATGAAAAATATGAAACTCTGGTAAGTATAAATAAAGAGGGCATTTGATAATACGTGAACAAATTTAATTTTTATTCGTTTATTAAATTTAACAAATAATCACAAATAATAAATTTGTTAATCAAATAAATTGATCATATATATAATAAAATTCATTTATTTGCGGTTCATTTATACTCCTATTTCATAAAAAAAATATGAACGAACCTGTATAAAGTATACCAAACTTGTCTTAAACAATTACTGGTGATTATTTTAAACAAAGAGGGGAAATGGTCTTTGAAGTAGCAGAAGTCTTATGAACCGTTTACCTTCTTGCGACGTGAAAGAATTTTCCGAAAGTTAAGTAGGCTGTTAACATCAGTCTTAGATGTTGCAATCCCTTGACCATGAGATTTGTTGTGCTTAAAGTGGATTGATTGTGGCTTGATGTCATTGTCACCTACCAATCTTTTAACAACTCTTCCTTAATTTTCCTTGATCAACTTGTGTAAGCAATTTGGTTATTTTCTTTGAGCAATCTGCTCTGCTGGTTAGTTCAAATAACATAGAAAGAACCAAGTTCAATGTTCATAGAGTAAGCCTGTATATAATATTCCATACTCAAGAGAAAAAATAATAAAAGTATAAATGAATATTTATTACCTTAATTGAAATAACGAGAAAAAATAGGCTACGAAGAGAAACAAAAAGTCTTGCCATCATTCATAGCATGATAAGCTGGAAACATCATATGCAATTTTAAGATATTGTACTGTCAAATAGGTTATGACATTCAACTTGGATGGTGAAAAGTCAGATTGATGATAGATGTTTTAGAGGCATTACATTGGATAAGTGTACAGTAAAGAGTGTAGAATTCTGCAGACAAACAACAGAAGATTAGACTGTCTTCGATCTCGTTGTCCGACTTTCTGATCCAACCTGCACTGGAAAAACACCATAGACAAAAACAGAAAGGGTGATAACAGTTCAATTTCAGTTTTAGTTAGTTTTTTTTTTTTTTTTGATAATATATAATATTATAAATTTATAAAATTTAATCTGAATCCAAACTGATTTTCTCTTAAATCAATTTAATTCGAATTAAATTTTATCGATTTGGTTTGATTTGATTTAGCGATTTTTAAGTTTATTTTTTTTATTTTTATATATTATTTTAATAAGATTTTTAATATATTTAAACAAGTTTATAGATAAAAAAATTATTTTTATTTAATAAAAATTTAAAAAATATATAAAAATTAATAAGAATAAATAATTTAATTTTTTTTAATTTTAATATCATGATCCAAAATTCAATTCGAATGTAATATATACATTTAATATTTAAATTTAATTTAAACCGGAGAAAAAAAAAACTAATCCAATCTAATCTAAACACCACAATTTCTAATCAATTTTTAATTTTTTTTAATTTTTTCTCACTCCTAAGAAACATAATAACTTTCATTACCAATATTTAGTAATTTAGGCATATGGCTGCATAGAATGAGTAAAATAAACCACGATAAATTTACTGAAATTATTTGAAAATAATTGCCCTTGAAAAGTCGTTCACCTGCTAGTTATTCCAAAGACGGACCCATGTCATTGGTTTCCATCTATAAGTATCTATCTGTCCTGCAAAGTTTTCCACTCTTCTTCAAAACAATAGCAAACAACTAGCAAAGTCAGATAAAACATTACCGGTATATCCTACAATGAAACGAATTCACTCTATCCTTGTTGCTTTTGCCCTCTTGGCTTTTGCTTGCTCATTAGCCTCGGCCTTTGACCCTAGTCCTCTCCAGGACTTCTGTGTGGCTATCAAGGATAACAAGGATGGCGGTAGGCGTTCGGTCTATATATGTTGATTTATTTTAATGTTCATGATCATGATGCTAATAATGCCTGAGCTGAAGGGCATTCAGCTTGGGAGCAATATTTTAATATAACAAAATTGCTTAAAGGTACTCTACTTTTGCATGAGATGATATATATTAACTAACATTTCCTTCCTGCAGTGTTTGTAAATGGGAAGTTCTGCAAGGACCCGAAGCTTGCAGTAGCAGATGACTTCTTCTTTTCAGGCCTCAACAAGCCAGGAAACACATCAAATCTGGTTGGATCAAATGTCACTACTGTCAATGTTGACCAAATACCAGGACTTAACACTCTTGACATATCTCTGGTTCGAATCGACTATGCGCCTTATGGTGGCCTAAACCCTCCTCACACTCACCCTCGAGGAACTGAGATCCTACTTGTTGTAGAGGGCACACTTTATGTTGGCTTTGTTACATCCAACCCAGACAACCGTCTCTTCACTAAAGTCCTATACCCAGGAGATGTTTTTGTTTTTCCAATTGGTTTGATTCACTTCCAGTTCAATATAGGGAAAACTAAGGCTGTTGCCTTTGCTGGTCTCAGCAGCCAAAATCCAGGGGTTATCACTATTGCTAATGCTGTCTTTGGCTCAAACCCACCAATCAATCCGGATGTTCTCGCAAAGGCCTTCCAGTTGGACAAGACTGTGATTAAGTATCTTCAGTCCCGATTCTGGTCAGATTAACGAGTAACTTCAAAGCCAAATCAAAACCCCAGAAATTTCTTGTTTGTTTTGAATAATGTTTTGATGAATTTTCCTCAACAAAGTCATATTACTCTACTTAGTATCATATGATAAACAGGCTGGTTGATAATGGACCTCTCCATTGTCCAGTCTCCTCTCTCCTTATGATCATTCTGTGCATGAAAATCAGAATATATAGTTAAATTTTCAATCTCTCTCTCTTACTCTTGCGTGAAGATGTATGCTCGTATGTGTATGCAACGTACAAGGCTGGACAAAAATCTCACTCAAATATACAGAAATTATACCTAACTGCATCAATTATGCTGCTTTTATAAAACAGAGTAACTTTTAAGCATTAAAATATATTCCAATCCCGTGTTGTAGGAATAGAGGCAGAAGCACTGAATCAGCTCAATATTGTTTTAGCACAATAATAATTCTCTTTAATTTGTGATAAAAACAGTAGTAATTTCCTTAATTCTTGTTTTTATGCCTGGATTTAGTTAAGATGGGTGCAATGCCACGAACCAACCCTTAATTAATCTACTCTTACCACTTGATTTAAGTCAATTAGGTGGGAAAACTTCAATAATCTATGTTAATTTTATGAATAAACAGATTCCAAACAGGCTCTTCACCTGATCTTGATTGGTGACTTTTCTTTGCTAAAAATTTTTTATATCAAAGAAAATTCGATAAACATGACTATTGAATAACAAGAAGAAAGGTTAAATAAAACTATACGGAGAAACAAGTGTGTTATGTCTTTGAAAAAAAAAAAAGAAAAAACCAAAACCGAAAAAGTTACAACAGAATGTTTTTACGTTGAATTTGAACCGACGCTAAGATGTTTTAGCAATCGTCAAAAATTCTTATAGTTTCAAAAATATTGTTGTTGAACTCAAGACTTAGTCTACTTGATTCATATAGTAACCTATTTCAAAATCTTAGCATTTATACTTTTTTTCTTTATCTTCGGACTAGGACTTGTTTTGTAAAAGAAAAAAAAAAGCTCTTAGCTTCAATTAGTAAAAAATCAGATAATAATACTTCACAAGTTTTTACAGAACTGGATTAAATAATACAAATTAGTAGAACAAAATCAGACATTTCCTGTTTGAATGAAAATTGCACATAAAGCTTGCGTCCAGTTGCTGCTACAATTTTAGTTTTTAATTTATGGAGGGAACCGTCTCAACAAGGATCATGTTCTTCATTTATTTAGTATTGTAGATATTGTTGCTTAAGTAACTTAAAATGCAATGTGAAGGTAAATTTAGATATTATTGTTGTTAGGAATAATGATTCAAATCCCAAAAGATATTCGTTTGGGATTTGTTAGAGATTTGTTTGAGATTTACCAGATATTGCTTTGATGGATAAGAAAACTTGTAAAATAAAAATTCTAAGAGAAATAAGATTTTTAATAAAAAGTTTGACTTGCAGGATAAGAATTTTAAGAGGAAAGGGATTCTTAATAGGCAAGTTTGTATGGTTATAAATAGGTGAAGTCTCTACAGGGTTAGGTATGAGAAAAAGATGTAAGAGAGTTGTAGGGTTTTGTAGGATAGACATCCCATAGGATTACTGGGTTTTACGTCTTATGGATGTGTATGTTTGTTTGTGAGTAGATTAGAGGAGACTGAGAGGGTCCACATAAATGTGTTTGTTTGGGTTGAGAATATTCTATAGGACTAGGAGAGATTGAAAGGGTCTATGGGTATTGAGTGGTTGATTATTTGTTTTGATGTATGTTTTTAATTCTTTACAACTAGTCGATCTTGTTTCTCATCTATGGATGTAGGTCAATTAGACTGAACCATGTTAAATTATTGTCTCTTGTGTGATTAATTAATTATTTGATTTTGTTTTCGCTGATGTGATTGGATTTGAGCTTTTTTTTGCTCAACAAATGGTATTAGAGCTATGGTGATTCTAACAAGTGGTCCAGAGGAGCTCGATTCAAAAAAAGAATTCGAGTTCAAGTTTTCAGGATTGAGAATCAGTTTACGCGATACATTAAGGCACGCAAAAGAAAATGATTATAAGACTTCCATTGTAGATGGAGCCAAGCATGTTTAGTATGAAGACAGATAATTGATGAAATTTGAGTCAAGGTGTAGATTGTTAGAAATAATGACTCAAATTTCATAAGATATCTGTTTGAGATTTGTTAGAGATTTGTTTGGGATTTGCCATATATTACTTGATGGATAAGAAGACTTGTAAAAGAAGAATTCTAAGAGGAAATAGATTTTTAATAGGCAAGCTTGTATTTATAAATAGGTGAAGTCTCTACATGGTTAAGTATGAAGAAAATATATACAGTGAGTCCTATAAATATGCGATTCAGGATCTAGTCCCCAACAGCCCCCTTGATCAATTTGAGATTATGCCATTTCTTCCTATGAATATAGGGGACTTTTATTTCTCATTCACAAATCCATCTTTGTTTATGCTACTAACTGTAAGTTTGGTCTTATTTTTTGTTCATTTTGTTACTAAAAAGGGAGTGGGAAAGCAGCAGTAATTCTTTGGAAAAGCCCGGTTTTCGGCCAAGTAAAGAATGCTTTACTTACAATTAAGATTTTGTAAGATAGACACCCCATAAGAGTACTGGAGTTTTACATCTTATGGATGTGTATATTTGTTTGTGAGTGGATTAGAGCAGACTGAGAGGGTTCACAAATATGTGATGTATGGGTGCATATGGGTATGTATTTCATTGTGTTGAAAGGGTGCACATTGTTATGTGTTTGTTTGGGATAAGAATACTTTATAGGAGTAGAATAGATTGAAAGGGTCTATGGGTATTGAGTGGTTGATGATTTATTTTGATGTATATTTATAATTCTCTACAATTAGTGGATCTTGTTTTTCATCCGTTGATGTAGGTCAGTTGGACAAAACTACGTTAAATTATTGTTTCTTGTGTGATTAATTAATTATTTGATTTTGCTTTCGTTGATGTGATTGGATTAGGGGCTTTTTTTTTTTTCCAACATATGCATTCAGGCCGCCAAAATTTTTATCTTCACTAAACCACATATCATGCCACGAATATTCACACCGTTAATGATTGTTTTTAATCCAGTGGGAAAAATATGATGATAAAATTCATTGGAATGGGACTAAATCTTTAAAAATTGATATAATACATGGACCAATTTTCAACTTTGAAGAAAAAACCAACCTTGGCACCGCTACTCTCTTCCTTGATCAATTCCACGCCCATGTCGTTGGAGCTTAAAGACCTTGAGAAGGACTTGAAAAGAGATAAAATGGGATCAGATCGTAACCTGCTTTAAACATGGGCCGTTGGAGGCATTGCACAAGAAGAAGCACTTCCTTTTGGTTATCTTCTTCTTGGTTTGGAACTTCGAGGTCTGGTTCTTGGTTCATTTTACTCATGGGTTCTGCCTTTGTGGATTCTTCAGTTTACAATTATGGTTAGAGAGATTGTGTTTCTTGCCTTGGTTAAAATGCAGGGGAAGAAGGAAGATGAAAAAAGAGGAGAAACTGTTGAAGGTTTATATTTTTGAGAGGTGTAAGAATAATTTTTGAATATTGATTGTGTGACAGTAGCTGTAACTGACAAACCAACGAGGGAATGCCACGTCAAAATCCAAAACCCCAAGAAGGGAAAAATGAAAAATAAAAACCAATCATGTGATGCATTCATTTCCCTAGATGAAGAAAGGGTGGATTCAAACTAAAAACAAATTGCACTACTCCAAAATATATGATCAAAATAAAATACAGAGAGGTTTGCATAACCCAAAGAACATAAGCAACCTCTTTATTTTATATATTCCAACACAAGAATTATACTAAATTCAATGAGACAAATAAGTCAAACATTATTCCGAACAAGCTGTTACATAAATTTCATGGGTGTATAAATTTTCCTCTAGTTGTTATCTCACTAGAATCGGGACTGAAGATAGGTAACCACAGTTTTGTCCAACTGGAAGGCCTTGGCAAGAACATCAGGATTGATGGGAGGGTTTGAGCCAAAGACTGCGTTTGCAATGGGGATAAGCCCTGGGTTTTGGCTGCTAAGACCAGAAAAGGCAACAGCATTGGTGTTCCCTATGTTAAACTGGAAGTGAATGAGGCCGATTGGGAAAACGAAAACATCTCCAGGGTATAGGACTTTGGTGATGAGACGATTATCCGGGTTGGATGTAACAAAGCCAACGTAGAGCGTGCCCTCCAAAACGACTAGGATTTCCGTGGCTCTAGGATGAGTGTGAGGGGGATTTAGGCCACCATAGGGTGCAAAGTCAAGTCGAGCGAGAGATATGCCAAGAGTGTTAAGTCCTAGTATTTGTTCAACAGTGACTGGAGTGACTTTTGATCCTAGTTGATTTGCTGTATTTCCTGGAATGTTGAGCCCCGGAAAAAAGAAGTCATTTGCGGTGGCGAGCTTTGGGTCCTTGCAAAACTTGCCATTAACAAAAACTGCTAAAACGGAAAGAAAAATATTAACACTTTGATACAATTCCATGCCGAAAATGAGATAACACTTCTCAAATATTTTAGGTGTTGACATGAATACATTCCAAAGAAGAAAGAGAGAGAATTAAAGAACATACCACCATTGTTGGTATTATTAATTGCTACACAGAAGTCCTGAAGAGGGCTGGGATCAGAGGCAGAGGCAAATGTGAAAGCCAGAGCGAACAGGACAAATGCTACAAGGAAATGAACACCGTTCATTGTTGTACGGTAGCTTTCTTGATTAAATTGTTCTAAGTTTTGTTGCTTGGTGAGGAGTGAGAGACGTGGCATGAAAGCACGCTATTTATAGATAGCACTCACTGAACAGGTCTATTCATTTTCATTTAATTATTCTTTTGAGGAAAAAAAAAAAAAAAAAACAGATGAAAGATTTACAAAGTCTACAGTGATTATTGTTTTAAAATATCTAAATGATTCATTCTTCAGCTACTCTGCGCCTCCATGCTCTCCGTATTTAATCGTCTCATGTTTGCATGAGTAAATTGCAATGGAACTGGTCAATCTTTACATACCAAATGTTTTCTTTATTTATTTAACTACATTTACTTTAAAACAAAAATCAAAAGAAATGTGTTTGAGTATCTCAGATTGAACTGTGTCAAACTAAGACAACGTAACTTATCTTGAGATACAAAACCACAGTTCTTGAATCTTTCCAAGGCTTTTCTTGCATGACGGCTTCTCAACTTGTACATGCTTTTTTTTTTAATTAATTAATTGATTTCCTGGAGAGGTTCATTAGCCGGCCCGCAGCAGTAATTCCTGGAAATCATTTTTACAATTAAAATAGTGAATAATAAGAATAATAAAAGAAGGCAATGAAGATGAAAAGAGAAAAAGTTTCAACATTAATCACTGAAGAAAAGTGGTGATAAATGGCAGTGTCTTTAACATTTTAACTAAGAAATTAATAATTTTAGCCCTGATCAGATGAAAATCACAAACAATTTTCAAGCACGTATGGCTATACTGTCATTAAACTTGGACGGCAAGAATCAGAAAGATGATAAAACCGGTACAGTTAAATCTAGTAGTGTAAATGTTTGATACTCATTTTTACATGCCTGAAAATGTTTAATGATTGGGTCAAATATGAAGCCATGCTTGTCCTGGTCCGGGGAAGGGATGCACTGGGGGAAGCCCAGGAACCCCATTCCGCTCAACCAAGAAAATATGAAAGCCAATGTTTCCAACTTAATTATAAAGCCATGCCAGAATGGTAATGTAAGAATTACTGTTAAATATGCAGACTAATTTTATATTTGATTGAGAAGTGGCATATGGAACCTGCCCAGTTTCTAGCATATTATACTTAAACACTGCCAAATGGCAAAGGTTTTCAACAAGACCATTGTTAACTTTATTTTTAATTGTATCTTATAGCTGCCATAATTAGCAACCTTGGATTTGTGCTAAAGTCAACAAAATGACTCAAGTTGTAAGTACTGCAAAAGACATAATTAACCTGGTCATGTTTCTGTTTTTCCAATTGGTTTGATTCACTTCCAGGTCAATATAGGGGAAACTAAGGCTGTCGCCTTTGTTGGTCTCAGCGGCCACAATCCAGGGGTTATCACTATTGCTAATGCTGTCTTTGGCTCAAACCCATCAAATAATCTGGATGTTCTCGCAAAGGCCTTCCATTTGGACATGACTGTGGTTACCTATATTCATTCTCGATTCTCATCAGATTAACAATTATACTTAAAAGCCAAATCAAAACCCCAAAAATTTCTTCTTTTTTTTGAATAATGTTGTAATGCATTTTCCTCAATAAAGTCCTATTATTCTCCATAATCCAGTCTCCTCTCTCCTTGTGATCATTTTATGTATGAACAAACTAGTACTAAATTATCGCTCACAAAAATTGGATTCAAAGTCTTTGAGGTAACAGAAGCCTTCAAGTTTAATCTTCTGTCAAATGTGAAAGCCTAACTAGGCAAAATTCAAGTCATTACTGTAAAAAATTTTTGAATATTAAGTCGGCTATGAATATCAAGGAATAGTTCTCAGAGGTCAATTAAAGCAGCCCCGTTCATTTTTCGCTAACTGAAGTGATCAAAAGACCAGGAAAATTTCAGTGCAGGATGGTTAATTGAAGTTGCAAGAAATTAATAATGTTGTGAATGTGATAAGCACAGATGTCATCTATGATTGAGTATCAAGGAACATGTCAGAACAGCCTTTGTCAACTGAGACCATATAATATATTGATTGGAGATAAAATCAGAAGCCTCAAATCTAGCATTAGTTTTTGTCGCATTAACACTTCTTAGATCATGCTAACTGCAAGAATAAATTGAGTTTTAGCAGACAAAACTGCTGGGTATTTGAAGCTACTCCAGATATAAATTAAATTATTTCTCTATTGAAAATAATGAATTTAAAACAGAAAAAGATACATGAAGAATACTATGCAAAACTGTTTTTGAGTTTATATTTGATGATATTTTATGCATTTTCTATATATCTATAAACTTACTAAATAGTAACCTACAACCTTTAAATTTTTTTAATAAATATTAATTTGAAAGAAGTGGCAACTTGTCAGTAGCAAATTATGATTTACACATAATTTGTGCAGATATAAACTTGTGACTGCAGGTTATCAGATATAAACTTGGTTTTAGCACTTGTTTCCGTGAAGGTAACACAGAACCAATGCATAAAAACTTTATATTGCTTGTCTATCTCCGCTGATCAAATCCTCCTTGTATGCTGACTTTGATTTTTTTTTTTTAATTTTATTACAGCTTGCTCCAAATTAAGACCAAATCTCAACTTTTATATAGATCTCATTGAAAGCACCCCTTGGGAGATGCTTTAATTAAGGTTTTTGGAATTAGCCATGTGAATTTATGCAAAATAACAGAGGATTTCCAAAATTGGTTGATTTTATTGTTCCACAAATTATTTAGGAAAGTCCCAAACTTAATTTGCCAGAATACCGAACACACTAAATTTGTTCACAAGTAGTCGAAGACACAGTGCTTCAAAGAAGATTTAGAGGGACATTTCATCATAGTTTCAGAAAATTGAATCCTGAGATTACAAATAATGCATGGAATATATTCCAGTCAATCAACTGATCTTCATAGGTACCCGAAAATATTATGGGCCTTGACCCTTCATGAGAATCTCTTGGCATTGCAGTAGCAAGTATTTTTTTTACCAAGCTTCAAGTTCAGGGCCTTCCTTGAGGTCAATGGATTAGTCAGAACAACTGCTGCTGGGATTGTCACCATATAACTATTGCAAATGATAAGCATACCATTTCCTGGATATATGGTTTCAGTAGATGTCTATCAAGCAACTGACCGAACCTTATGCTACTTTTATGGTACATTCTGCTCTGAACAATATCGAAGTCAGATCAAAGTTAACTCCATCACGATAATTTATAACCAGAATTATTGATATCATGAACAAGCGAGCATTATGTCTTTGAAGTATATGGAGAATGCCAGTTTTTTCCCTCAAATATACATAGGAACCCCGTTTTGAATTATATTTTACTAGTAAAATAGTAACATAAATATGAACCTGTATGAAATAGAAACTTTTGAGGGAGTACTGGAGGTTGTCCAGTGAAGGCTTTTTGGACTTGAGTTCTGAGATTGTTTCAGGAGAAGGACGTTTCATTGGGTGGAAAACGATGACATTTGAGGCAAAGGTTGTGCATGGATGGCGGTTTTGGCAGTTGTTCTTGAAGCTGTCACGGTGTAGTAGGGAGAGGTTGACGGATTCTTGGAGTTGAACATCGTCTTCTTCTTGGTTTGGAACTTCAAAGTCTGTTTCTTGGTTCATTTCACCCATGAGTTCTGCCTTTGTGGATTCTTCAGTTTTCAATCTTTGCTATAGAGATTGTGCTTATTGGTTGAAATGCAGGGGAAGAGGGAAGAGGGAAGAGGAAAAAGGCAGAGAAACTGTTGACGGTTTATACAGTAACTTTGGATGGGTGTACGGATGATCCTTGAATCTTGACCATGTGACAGCTGTTGTAACTAACAAGGCAATGAGGGAATGCCATGTTAAAGTCCAATACCCAAAAAAGGAAAAAACGAAAAAAAAAAAACCAATCATCCGATGCATTCATTTCCCTAGATGAAGAAGGGGTGGGTCCAAACTAAAAACAAAATGCAATTTTCCACATTATATCGATCAAAATAAAATACAGAGATGTTTGCATAAACCAAAGAACATAAGCGACTTCTTTATTTTATATATTCCAACCCAAGAATTATACGAAATTCAATGAGACAAACAAGTCAAACATTATTCCGAACAAGCTGCTACATAAATTTCATGGATGTAAATTTTCCTCCAGTTGTTATCTCACTAGAGTCGGGATTGAAGATAGGTAACCACAGTTTTGTCCAACTGGAAGGCCTTGGCAAGAACATCAGGATTGATGGGAGGGTTTGAGCCAAAGACTGCGTTTGCAATGGGGATAAGCCCTGGGTTTTGGCTGCTAAGACCAGAAAAGGCAACAGCATTGGTGTTCCCTATGTTGAACTGGAAGTGAATGAGGCCGATTGGGAAAACGAAAACATCTCCAGGGTATAGGACTTTGGTGATGAGACGATTATCCGGGTTGGATGTAACAAAGCCAACGTAGAGCGTGCCCTCCAAAACGACTAGGATTTCCGTGGCTCTAGGATGAGTGTGAGGGGGATTTAGGCCACCATAGGGTGCAAAGTCAAGTCGAGCGAGAGATATGCCAAGAGTGTTAAGTCCTAGTATTTGTTCAACAGTGACTGGAGTGACTTTTGATCCTAGTTGATTTGCTGTATTTCCTGGAATGTTGAGCCCCGGAAAAAAGAAGTCATTTGCGGTGGCGAGCTTTGGGTCCTTGCAAAACTTGCCATTAACAAAAACTGCTAAAACGGAAAGAAAAATATTAACACTTTGATACAATTCCATACAGAAAATGAGATAACACTTCTCAAATAGTTTAGGTGTAGACATGAATACATTCCAAAGAAGTCGGAGAGAGAATTAAAGAACATACCACCATCGTTGGTATTATTAATTGCTACACAGAAGTCCTGAAGAGGGCTGGGATCAGAGGCAAAGGCAAATATGACAGCCAGAGCCAACAGGACAAATGCTACATGGAAATGAACACCTTTCATTGTTATATGGAAGCTTTCTTGATTAGATTGTTCTAAGTTTTTTGCCTGGTGAGGAGTGAAAGATCTGGCATGAAAGCATGCTATTTATAGATAGCACTCACTGAACAGGTCTATTCATTTTCATTATTGAATTATTCTTTTGAGAAAAAAAAAAAAAAAAACAGAAGAAAGATTACCAAGTCTGCAGTGATTATTGTTTTAAAAAAATCTGAATGATTCATTCTCCAGCTACTCTGCGCCTTTATCCTCTTCGTATTTAATCTTCCCATGTTTGCATCAGCAAATTGCAATGGAACTGGTCAATCATTACATACCAAATATTTTCTTTGTTTATTTAACTATATTGACTTTAAAACAAAAATCAAAAGAAATATTTCCATGCATCTGAGATTGATCTACATTAATGTAATTTATTAACGTGTTGTTAACTATATTAATGTGTTTGAGCGTGCAAGCATCTCAGAGTGAACTGTGTCAACTAAGACAATGAAACTTATCCAGAGATACAAAACCACAATTCTTGAATCTTCCCAAGGCTTTCTTGCATGACTACTGCTCAAGTCATGCATGCTATTTCTTTGAATTAATTAATTAAATTCCTGGAGAGGTTCATTGGCCGGTCTGCAGCAGCAATTCATGAATAACATTTTTACAATTAAAATAGTGAACAATAAGTATAATAAAGGAAAAGAAAGCATTGTAACAAAGAGAGCATTCAGTTTCGTTAATTAAACAAATTGATTACTAACATAACAAAGTTCATTCATTTTCGATTCATTTACACCCTATCTCCATAGAACAGAATATGAATAAACCTGTGTAAAGTAGACTAAACTTGTCTTGAACAATTACTGGTGATCATTTTAAACGAAGAGGGGAAATGGTCTTAGGCTCAATTTGGATCATCGATTATCAGCGAGGCGGCACGATTTGAAGCTTCAACTGCCTCTGTAGTAGGTTTTGATCTCATGCTTCGGTACGATTGAAGTTTCTCTGGCCGTGCTGGAGGTGCCAATCGTCACTGGACCTTAAGGCACCAGTTAGAAACATTCTCTCCACCGCAGCCCTTCTTCCCCTTTGTACCCCTGCATCATCTTCTTTTTTTTCCTTTTTACCCTCCGATCAACGGTACAAAGACAAGAAACTATAACAGTCATTTTTTATTCTCGATTTTAATTTTACTATAACAGTAATCAATTTCACCACTATAATAATTAATCTCATCTCAATTGCTGTTTTCAATATTACCCGAACTAATCTCACCGACAACCCTTAAAAATAGCAAAACTCTGATGCACCGTTTACTTATTTGCCACGTGAAAGAAATTTCTTAAAGTTAGGTAGGTTGTGAACATCAGTCTTAAATGCTGCAATCCCCTTACCATGTGATTTCTTTTGCTTAATGTGGATTGTTTGTGGCTTAACGTTAATCTTTTAACAACTCTTCCTTAATTTTCCTGGATCAAGTTGTGCAAGTAATTTGGCTATTTTCTTTGAGCAATCTGCTTTGCTGGTTAGTTCAATGAACATAGAAAGCATCAAGTTCAATGTTCATAGAGTAAGCCTGTGTATAATATTCAATACTCAAGGTGTGTTCAATCAGAAGAGTTCCAACAGATTATTCAAAATTCTCAGACCATTTCTTCCAGCACCAGTTCTACACCACTCCAGATATGCTAAGTGGCCTAATAGTAAAAAGTGTTGTGGGTAGAGCAAGGTTAATTGATCTTAAAAGAAATTTTGTGTTTTCAATGTGATAAGCATAAACGTCACAGCTTAAGTAACTATGAACATGTCAGAATAGACCAGATAAAATCACAAGCACTAAGCCTAATATTAATTTATTGCATTTGTGCTCCATGAATCAAGCTATTCGTATATCACTTGATTGGTTCTATATTGTAAAATTTGTTGGCCTGTTGCACCAAAATAATAAAAGTATAAATGAACATTTATTACCTTAATTGAATTAAAGAGAAAAAATAGACCACCAAGGGAAACAAAAAGTCTTGCCATCATTCATAGCAAGATAAGGTAGAAAATTATATGCAATTTTAACTTATTGTACTGACAAATAAGTTATAACATTCAACTTGTGTGGTGAAAAGTCAGGATGATAGATATTTTTGAGGCATTGCATTGGATAAAAGGTAAGAGCCCATAAAGTAGGAGTATAAATAATATATTCGTACTCACAAATTAGTCGGGTTCGACTCGAATAAAATTTGAATTCGGTTTAGTTATTATCAAATCAAGTTCGAGTAGCTCGATTTATCAATCGAACCGAGTTCAAGCATTCTTATATCCGGCTCGAGTAGTTCACAAGCCTAATCAAGTTTTTATTTTTTAATTATTTTAATTGATAAAATACAGCTCAAATACAAATAATCAAGCTTTTGTCAAATATAAGAATCAAACTTATTTTTATATGTTAATCGAATTTAATCAAGCGAGTTCGAGTAACTCAATTTTTATCTCCAGTCGAGTTCAAACTAAAAAAATAAAATTCGATTAAGTTTGAGTTAAGTTTCAAGCCTCGAATTTGAAATCAAGCTCAAGCTCGAACTTAATATTGTATCGATTTAAATTTGCTCGATTACACCCCTACCATAAAGTAAAGAGTGTAGAATTCGGAGACAAACAACAGAAGATTGGATTCTTTTCAATCTCATTGTCTGACTTTCAAATCCAACCGACACTGCAAAAACACCATAGACAGAGGCATGACAACTTTCACGGCCATTTTTCAGCATTTTAAGCATATGCCTACATAGAATTAGTAATAAACCAGGATAAATTTGCTGAGAGTACTTGAAAATGATTGCTCTTGAAAAGTCTTTACCTGTTAGTTATGGAAAATAGGGACCCAGGTCATTGGTTTCCATCTATAAATAGCTGTCTGTCCTGCAAAGTTTCCCACTCTTCTTCAAAACAATAGCAAACAACTAGCAAAGTCAGATAAAACATTGCCGGTATATCCTATAATGAAAGGAATGCACTCTATCCTTGCTGCTTATGCCCTCTTGGCTTTTGCTTGCTCATTAGCCTCGGCCTTTGACACGAGTCCTCTCCACGACTTTTGTGTGGCTATCAATGACACCAAGGATGGCGGTAGGCATTCGTCTGCGTCAACTTTACTTTATTGTTCATGAACATGATGCTAATAATGCCTGAGCTGAAGGACATTCAGCTTAGGAGCAATATTTTAATATAATAACATTGCCGAAAGGTACGCTACTGTTGCATGAGATGATATATATCAACTAACATTTCTTTCCTGCAGTGTTTGTAAACGGGAACTTCTGCAAGGACCCGAAGCTTACAGTAGCAGATGACTTCTTCTATTCAGGCCTCAACAAGCCAGGAAACACATCAAATCTAGTTGGATCAAATGTCACTGCTGTCAATGTTGACCAAATACCAGGACTTAACACTCTTGACATATCTCTGGTTCGAATCGACTATGCGCCTTATGGTGGCCTAAACCCTCCTCACACTCACCCTCAAGGAACTGAGATCCTAGTTGTTGTAGAGGGCACACTTTACGTTGGCTTTGTTACATCCAACCCAGAAAACCGTCTCTTCACTAAAGTCCTATACCCTGGAGATGTTTTTGTTTTCCCGATCGGTTTGATTCACTTCCAGTTCAATATAGGGGAAACTAAGGCTGTTGCCTTTGCTGGTCTCAGCAGCCAAAATGCAGGGGCTGTCACTATTGCTGATTCAGTCTTTGGCTCAAACCCAACAATCAATCCGAATGTTCTCGTGAAGGCCTTCCAGTTGGACAAGACAGCAGTTACCTATCTTCAGTCCCGATTCGGATCAGGTTAACAAGTAACTTAAAAGCCAAATCATATTATTCTACTTATTATGGTACTATCGTACAATAAACAGGCTGGTAGATAATGGACCTCTCCATAGTCCAGTCTCCTCTCTCCTTGTGATCTGAGATCATTTTATGTATGAACAAACTAGTATTGAATAAAACCGTGTTATCACTCACAAAAATTTGATTCAAAGTCTTTGAGGTAACAGAAGCCTTCAAGTTTACTTTTCTGTCATGTGTGAAAGCCTAACCAGGCAAAATTCAAGTCATTACTCTAAAAAATTTTTTGAATATCAAGTCGGCTATGAATATCAAGGAACAGTTCTCAGAGGTCAATTCAATTCAAAGTAGCCCCGTTCATTTTTCGCTAACTGAAGCGATCAAAAGACCAGGAAATTTTCAGTATAGCATGCTTGTTTAATTGCACTTGTAAGAAATTAAGAATGTCCTGATATATGATTGAGGATCAAGGAACATGTGAGAACAGACTTTATCAACTGAGACCATATAATATATTGATTGGAGACAAAATCAGAAGCCTTAAATCTAGCATTAGTTTTTGTCTTATTAACACTTCTTAGACCATGCTAACTACAAGAATGAATTGAGTTTTAGCCGACAAAATTCCCGGCTGTTTGCAACAACTCCAGACATAAATTAAATTATTTCACTATTGAAACTAATGAATTTAAAAAAGAAAAAGATATATGAAGAAGACTATGCAAAACTGTTTTTGAGTTTATATTTGATGATATTTTGTGCACTTTCTATATTTCTATAAACTTACTAAATGTTAACCTGCAACGTCAAAATTTTTTTTTAATAAATGTTAATTTCAAGGAAATGGCAACTTGTGATGGCAAATTATGATTTACTCATAATTTTTGCCAACTGCAGGTTGTCGGATATAAACTTGTTTTTAGCACTTCTTTTCCATAAAGTTAACACAGAATCAATGCATAAAAACTTTATGTTGCTTTTGCATCTCTGCTGATCGAATCCTCCTTGTGTTGGATTTTTTTTATGTTATTACAGCTTGTTCCAAATTAGGGCCCAATCTCAACTTTTAGAAAGATCTCATTGAAAGCACCCTTTGGAAGATACTTTAATTAAGGACTCGGAATCAGCCATGTGAATTTATGCAAAATATCAGAGGATTTCCATAATTAGTTGA